AATGTAGAAAGTGGGAGATTGTGGCCGGAAACAGACGTTCATTTTTGATGTCCTTGTTACTTTGAGCCATCACTGCATGTTTCGTGCATAAGCAAACACAAATAGGCACATACACATACTTTATACCTCATCAGAGAGGCCACATGTAGAGTATATATACTGCTTTTTAAGGATTTTTCGATAAGCATTCTTGACTCGTTGGCTTGAATTTGGTTGTGACAATGATACCTTGCTCTGATGATGTTCGTCACATGACGGACGAAAGCTTAGCACCTCTTCCCCGGAATTGAAGAAGATTCCCTGGAAACAGCGTCAGCATGAATCTTCCAGTAAAGCCAATCGACAGCTGGTCAAGAGGAATCCTCCGTCTTCTGCTGGAATCGACCTTCGAATCTCTCCACCCAACAATTTCACTCGAAATGGAAGTAGGCTCAACATTTTAATTGTCTGTTGAATTATTCATTTATTAATTATCACTACTTATATGCTTTATTTCAATAAACCTAGGCCGGTTATGTAAATTAATAAGCGATATTATACTAATATTATAATATTAAGTTTATAATATAATTCTATACATGAACTAAGCTTGAACAATTAATTCTATTAGAACTTTTGGTATTACCTCATAGGATATTTATTAATATCCCTACGAGTAAATATAAATGTAAGGCCATAGTTACTGAGTAAGAGCCATTTTGATACCCACAGTAACATAGTCGAATAGTCTTTATTGTGGTTTTGCTAACATGGCTCAAACTTTGCATCTCTAGTTAAAATGCTTGGTTCAACTGAAGTATATCCTTTCTAGCTAGCAGGGCTGATGCATAAATATTTAACAAGCTTATACATTCTCAGTAAAACACGGCACTGGATAGCCACCAGTTTAGTATAAAAATAAATTTATTTTTATTATCGTCCAATCTTACATATTTTTCCAAGATATAAAGGATTATACGTCACTGAGATAATTTGGCTACCAGAAGGGTGGTGCTTAAAAGCTATTTCTGCAACAGTTTAAACACGCATTTTTGAAGGACTGACATCTAATTTAAAGAATTCTTCCTAAATGTCATATATTTCGTCTAGCTTTTCCTCTTAGACATATGAAAAATGTTTTACCAGCTGTTTAAATTGTAATCATAACTTGATCGCAATTCATATACTCTTAAAGAATCTAACAACTAATGCATATAAGGATCTGTTGCTTGACCTTGTTTTCACAACTTGGTGATATTGGCAGGAAGACCTGTAGGAACACGCCTATTCTTGGGTGCATAGTGTGCATGATCATTTTCAGAGTCGGACCGTGGAAGTTGTACATTTTCAGGTTTCTTGCCCACATCATCATTCGGCATTTCCAGCCTTACCAGCACACTACCACTTGTCCTACCAAAGAGGCAGAAACCTTTTTTACTGCTATATATAAGTATATCTCAATGAAGCTTGCAACCATCTGACTTAAATAGAAGTTCTACACCAAATTCCAGAAGCACTAATAATGTCATGTTCATTTGACCATTAGATTTCGTGTCCCATATACCGTCCTACCAGCCCGATCCCTCTTTTCAGTTGTCATAATGAGTATGTAAGTGAAGACGTATCAGAGAGGATGGACTAACAAGTGATTTAAGTGCAATACAATACAATCGGCAGAGTGGTCATCATGGATATTTCTGGAAAGTTATTTAGCGGGCATAAGCATACTATTTTATTACCACAAGTGAGACTGTGAAAACCAGAGCTAGTTGCTACGAGAGCTCATAATTTTAGCTATTATCTATCCTTGGCACGATACGGACTTGAGAGTTGTCTCATGTCTATTTCCTGGATATAAATAAATTATGATTTGCAATTAAATAGAGGATAGTATGTAAGTCAATGAGGATCAGGAAATGCATTCGCTCACTCTGTTGCAACATTATTAAGAGCATATTATTGAGCCAATAAGAAAATAATTGGAGGGATATAAATTTAGACGTGGACAAGTTTTGCATGCAAGTAGCGGTTAAAAATATAAATTATATTGCTTATTAAGTATCTTTTTGGTTGATTTTTAATATCTTATATCAATGTCAATTAGAGTGTTATTAATCCATTATTGTTATCTGAATTAGGGCAATTACTTTATTAATAAGAATAGCTCATTAAAAGCGTTCACACATATTCTCGCATGATTGGATAAGAACAGAAAAGAGTTCATTAATCCTCATTTTGAGGCACTGCCAATTTCCATTAGACTT